CTTGTTATCGATGATTTAACTTTAGAAACATTAGAAACAGTGCGTACTTTTTTCGGATATTCGTTTGGCGTTTTCTTTCCATTCAGAAGTTAAGATTAGCGTTTTTTCTTTTCTAATTAATTATGCTACTTATTTTGCAGTTAGAAATTTTAATGCCATACATTTCACTGAGGTTTTGAATTACGGAATAATAATACTTCTGTTCGAAAAGTGCAACAACATATCCTTCAATCCCCATCTTGTGTACATGCGGCATTTTGAAAGAAGAATCACTTTAAAAGTAGCAGACGATATTTTTCATTTCAAATAATAAGCTGTTGCAGACATTTTTATTCCAAAACATTTGCTCTTTTTTAATCTTTTATCGAGTTTGTCATTATTATATAAGGCTTTGTGGACACTGTGCATATATGTACGCAATTGATGTGAACAGTGAATGGCGATAATTTATATTAGTAACCCTCCACTATATGCCTAACTAACGGAGAGAACCACATGCATATGTAAATATGCCACATGTAATCTAGCACTATACATTTCATTGCCTTATGATATTTGTATCACAGGAACAAACTGCGTAAACTGCCTTTAGTAATTAGGAATTAACACAATTAAATTAGGGTATGTCCCCATCAATGTCTTGGTCATAAAATTTGCAACATTTGGCTCATTTTCTCAAGGTTACTAAAATTTGAATCAATTTTTTGGTACTTCCATTGCGGGCGAAGTTAAATTTTTCGGTGTATTAATTAATAGACAGTATAGTATCATTGCATAACACGGTTATATTAATAGCTATAAACAAGAAATGTATATTGTGCCCTTTGTATAAGCAAATCTAATGCAAACATAGTGCAGAAATGTATTTAATAACTGAATTTCAGACACATAGTTTAATGTATTATGGATTGGGTTTCAGTATGTGCATAAATTATTCGGCGCAGTAACAGCTACAGAAATACAAGGATTGGGATATCATTTAATCACATTTCATCGCGACAACAGGGACTGAATTGGATTCACTCTGTTTTACCGCATAATTGCATACATATGAAGTAATTTGATTAATTGATCGTTGAAATTATAATTCTAAAATCAAGTTTACGCATTCAAATCATCCTGCTGGTTCACCTTGAGGCCTTTCCAGTTATAGCAGCTAATCCAAGAGTGGCGCTCTAAAGTGGACATTGAAATGAAACGTTAAGTTCTAAGCCTCGTGAATGGCTTCAGATTTTATTTTCATACTAGCTGAAGTAATCAGCATTGTCCGCGTTTTACGCACAGTGAAAAATGGCTTCATTTATGAGGAGGGAAGTACACTGTGCAAAAAAAATACAATGAGACAATTCTATATCTCCCGTTCTACTGGGCCAATTGACGAAATTCAAATTTCGTTTTTCATGTCACGAATATACGACTTAAGATATATATTAGATTTATATATAGCTTGAAAGCATATTTTCGGGCACTGCAGGCCTTGGCCCATTAGAGCTGTAACGCCACTGAGATTTTTACTTCCTTGTACGAAGTAAAAAGGAAGTATTGTACTCGAGAAAATTTTCAGGCAGCATATTTCAACGAAAATATCCATTTTGACCGCTATCGAATGCAATTTAACGATGTTTTTGCGTGATATCTGTACGTAAGGACAGAATAAAATATTCTTTTCCTTCAAAAAAATTATAAAACTGCTTTAAAATTAATTCTGAAGAGAATTTTTCGTGATGTCTGTACGAACGTATGTACGTACGTACGTATCTCTCATAACTCAAAAACGAGTAGCCTCAGAACGTTGAAATTTTGTATATAGGACTGCTATAACATGTAGATGTGTACCTCGTATTTTGGTTGCAATCGGCCGCACCAAACGTATATAAATATACTTATACATACATCCATGCTGTTACCCGGCTCAGCGAGGTCAGTCTCTTTACTCTTATATGTATGTAAATTGTGCATTTTTTTCTTTAAAAATTATTGAATTATGTTGTTCTTATCTTCCGATTAAGGTTTTTGTGCCTATAGTAAATCTGCAAGCAATATTTGTACTATCAACAATTTAAAAGCCGTTTAAGTGCGGTCAAGCCTAATTTTTAAATAACATGGCGGACATATTTGTTTACATTTGAAACAGCAAATTAGTAGATTTGTTGCCAATATAGAGGGATTAAGCTTCGCAACAACAAAGATAACGCCTTCTTTCATTACTGCGAATTAAATCATGCTTAATCCATTCTGGAATTTATTCGAGAAAATAAGTGTTTAAGATTTACATCGTAATTTTTAATATAGATATTTTGAGTTTTTATGTATTTTTGCCTTGGCGGGAAGTGAGAAAATTAACTGAATGAGAAATAGTGAATCGTCTGTGAAAAACTGTTTCTTTTTGTCTTGTTTGCTTAATTTCTTTTAAACATCGTTTTAGATTTATTATAGTATTTGAACACAACATGTGGCAACCATTAGACAATTCTTGAAATGATATAATTTTTTTGCATTCTGAGTTATCATATGAACGAAATATAACGCTGTTAAGTGAACTTAGCGCCACAGTATGGCTATAGTAAAATAATATAGTGAATCTTAAAGAGTGCATTTATTCTATTGTGGTTTATGCGCTCTAGACAAAGTAGATTTAATTCAATCAAATAAGCTTAAATGAGATGCAGTAAAAAAGTCTATGATTTAATATTTCGTACAAGGAAGTCATGTGGTGTACACATCAGATCTTTTTTATATAGCTTCATTCTAACATATGTATTTTGACGAAAAATCGGACTTTTTCTGAAATGACATGCCATTTTTATCCATATTTCAATTCTACAACTTAAATTATGACTAAATAATAAATTTTGCATAATTTGGAGCGAAATTTACGGAAAAATTTAAAAACTTATCTTGGCGTATTTTTTTCAGTTTTCGCGAAGAATAATTTACTTTATAAACTTCTTAATTTATAGCAACATATTTTCCTTTTCTTTTTACTTCCTTGTACGAAGTAGAAAGGAAGTATTGTAATCGCGAAAAGTTTCAGGTAGCATATTTTAAGAAAATATCCATTTTGAACGCTATCGAATGCAATTTAACGATGTTTTTGCGTGATAGCTGTACGTAAGGACAAAATAAAAGACTCGTTTCCTCCAAAAAAAAATGATAAAACTGCTTTAAAGTTAATTCTGAAGAGAATTTTTCGTGGCGTCTGTACGAACGTATGTATGTACGTATCTCGCATAACTCGAAAACGAGTAGCCTCAGAACGTTAAAATTTTATATAACTGAACGCTGTCGTCGAAGTAGATTTAATTCAATCCAATCAATTTAAATGAAATTCAAGAAAAAAAAATGCGTATAATTTAATATTCCGTACAAGGGAGTCATGTGGTGTCCACATCAGATTATTTTTTTAATTACAGACGAGCGGAAAAAAGGTCATCGTTCATACTTTCAAATAATTTTAACAAAGTGCGTACACCACATTTGGCGTTATTATCGCCCAAAAAAAAAAGATACCAAATTTCAAAACGCTTCAATATGTAAATTCATGCATATCTTAGAAAAGTTTGAATAAAAAAACTTTCATTTTTGGCAGGTATGCCTAGAAATACATCTACTCGATGTTAAAAATTTTATAGGTTATAATGCAAACATGTTTTCGAAAAAATTACGAAAAATATTTACAAATACAAACTTTAAAAATAAATCATAAAAAATGTGTGAATTATATTTGGATTAACCTTCGCTGTAACCCTCGTTTTCAGCAAAGTGCTTTCTAATCCATCTGCTGTGTGTATTTGGAGATATGAGATAGGTCGATGCTGTGGACGAAGATTTTTCCTTTGCTTTGTTTTGTTATGTTTCATTATTTCGAGTGAAAATCGACGAAGTTGTTGACGACGAGGAAACGGAAACTGTATTTCTCATTTAGAATGACAACAGATGTGTTTAACAAGGATATACAAAAATTATCTTACGGGGTTATGCCTCACCTATGTGGGTGCCTACATGGAATAATGCCTGAAAGCATGCACTTGAAAAAAAAATGTTTTGTTCAACGAAATGTTTTCGTTATTTAGCCTTATCACCAATTGGGCACTACTTCTGTATATGGCTAGGGATATATTTATTAAGATTAGATGCAAATATTGTTAAGATGATGATTAACATGAAATGTTACTATATGCATTAGAACAGAATATAAATCACACAGAATTACAAATACAGTGCATCCTTTTTACAGCATTCCGTGGCAGAGAGTTGTTTCCGACATCCGAAACGATGTTGTCTAAAACTATATGTAAATAACTCAGTCAACGGAAAACCCATTTAGCATAAAAGGTGCTTCGAGTATTGCATTTTTCTTCTTTGGAAGAGCTGTAGAGGCATAAGTTAATTTTTGAAAGCAGGAGATTTGAAAAATGGCCAATGTTCTCGCCGGGAATCGAACCACGGACCTCCAAATACGCGCCGAGCGTGCTGACCACTACACTATGAAGGCATGCTAAGAAGGCGGGAGAAATACCTAATAGAGTAAGGTGTGCTCACTGATTATGATGAACGTGCAGATGTGCTGATATAGTATATATATAAATTTGCATGATGTGATCTTAGTTTCCATATACACACATAGATACGATGGCATATGCATTTTCTTTTAGTGTATTCCAGTGCATTATATTTTGTACTCTCTTATTTCATTCTTTCAGTTATGAAATTTGTTTGCTTAAACGTATAAAAATGATTTTTCAAATTAAATGATTAATTCGTATGAAGATAATGTATTCTGACGTTATTTAAATATTCGACTTTTTTCATTTGTGATGTCTTTAATTCAACACAGCTTAGTTGTTTTATAAACGACAGTCAGCGTCGTAATGATGGAGCACATTTAAAGACGAATAATTTCTACCGAAATATTTGCATTATAATGCATTGTGAATAGAAACACACAGAAAATGAAATTCTGCGAGCAAATAGATAATAAAAGTAGTCAATACTCTTACCTCTAGATTCCGGCATCTGGTTTAAAAAATCCATTGTTCTTCAGTTAAACTCGTTGCATTTGAAGTCAACAAATATGAGTGTTCCCTAGAGAGAGAAAAAAATGCTGTATTAAAACATACAATTCATATAACTGCATTTATATGTATTTTTAACATTCTGTTGTTTGCCGTCGATATAAACATTTTCTCAATAAAAACCTAAGAAATACATTTCTTCGGTTTGTCATTATGAAGAGCGAAACACAATGCCATACTTTAAAAGCTTGTTACTGATATTAGTTTAATTACTTTCTTATTTAATTTAACGATGACAATAAGTAATGTTGGTGCGTGTGTCTCTCCTTAGAATGATTTTGTGTGTTCCATACACACGCGCTGTTCCATAGAGAACAACACGCGTGTCTTTCCATTGAGATCATATTGTGACGTAAACGTTACGCTGTAATACATTTATAAGGTATTTCATCCGTCTTCTTAGTATCCCTTCGTGGTATAATGGCCAACACGCTCAGCGAGCGCGTATTTGAGAGGACCGAGGTTCGAGTCCCTTCTGCTTCGAAATAACCTAATGTCAGTACAGTGGCGCCCGAACTAAAAAAGGTGTTGGATGACGATTCTCCACCACCAGGATTTGGCGATTGGATCCTTTAATGCCCAGTCGCCCTTTGAAAAGGGGAGTATATAAGGTATTTCGCCCGCTTTCTTAGCATGCTTTCGTGGTGTATTGGTCAGCACGCCCGGCGCGTATTCGAGAGGTCCGTAGTTCGAGATCCGGCGAGGGCACTGCTCATTTTCCATGTCTCTTCCTTTCATACCTAATGTCTCTACACATTTACCCCATCTTTTAAACTTTTCCGTTAGGATGTACGGTTTCTTTTCCTGCAATGAACGAAATTTAAGTTTTAGCGCAACCACATGGCTCAGATTGTCGAATTTTTACAGAGAAAGGGTACTATTTATTGCATCCATACCCAATATTATTATACACATATTTGACGTTCTAAGGAGGTAGTTACCAGGAAACTCAATCAATAAAGCTACTTACAAGCAGGTTTTGGATTCTTTTGTTCTAAAGAGAAAACTTCCTGGTAAAAAAAAGCAGTAATTTTGCTCAAAAAAATTTAGAAATTACATTAAATATCTCAAATAAGCTTTATTTTAAAAGATACCTTTGCGCTCTTGCCGATGATGGAAACAGTAAAATGTTTAAAATTTTAGTTTGCTCCTTAAACAATGATCTGCGCAAAAAAACCTTTTCGATATTAAATTTTAAAATAATCTAAATCAAATTTTGAAAAACGTCTGTTCGGTATATTATATTATCATCCAAAAAGCTTAAAAAGAAATAGTTTAAAAATTGACGACAAATTTTGAACGCATCGAAAAGCACCATGAATGAGTTTCTAATTTGAGGAAACGTAAAAATCGCTGAAAATTTTCGTAAAATTTACGCTAGATCGATAGGCAAGAATTCTGCACTTAACACTTGTAGTAATTGTTAAGTTATTGTACATAACATTTACTCATTAATTCACTGAATTTGTTAACTTTAGACAAAATTTTTTATGCAAAAGTTACTTCTGAACAAAAGTTTTGGGAAAACTGCTGTAAATTTTATGCTAAGAGGATAATAACATTTAGAACCTGAACATCCCCAAAGAAAATTTCAAAAGCAATTCACGAAAAATTAAATTTCAAAGACGATGATAATATCTTTTCCTACCCGCTTTTCCTATTTTTTTCTTACGCCTTAACGGTTAAATATTTTGATCTCTGAGCAAACTTCATTGATTTGACAGATATATAGGTTCGATCAATTCTGGAAAGTCGGCCGGCTCATAAAAACCAACGACGCTTTCCTAAAAAGTAGAACACATTTTTTCCTGCCTTATTAAATATTCATTCACATCTAATTTCCGATTATTGCTGACAATTCACTTTAACATTCGGTAGACAAGACATACAAATTCCTGAAATACAAATAAAATAGAAAAGAAGAAACCATCCAGGCGTTATGAAAACCTTTAATAGCATTTCAGTTTAATTTTAAAGCCTTAAAACTAACAGGAAAAATTCCTTTTGGCTAAACATTTGCTTCCGCCAACTTAGGGAACTCAAAATCTGTGAAATTTTTATAAGGCATTTAAAGAGATTAATTACACTTAACTGCTGTTAAAACCAAATAGAGATCACGAAAATTACAAGCCCTAAGCAAATAGTCGGTCGCGGTTAAAAAAAATCAACTCAATCAAGAAGATGGGGAAAAAAAAAAGTTATTTATTTAAGGGAAAAAAATGGTAATTTCCCAATTCCCTGAATTTTTTTTTTTTTTTTTTTTTTTTTTTTGTTACACAAAGGCCGAAAAGATATGATATGGGAAAACTCGGCACAAATGGTTTTAATCTGGCATTAACTTTAATGCAAAGAGGATCGTGGCATTTTGAGGTACAATAGCATGAGTCCACCTTCACTGGAAATAATCAGAATATTATTGAACAAATACTGGCATAAATGGTTCAGTAAAATCGTTCGATTGGAAATGTCTTAAATTTCAATTCGTTTTATCAAATTTAACATGTATATTACCTGACATACTACGACTTTACTTACAGCAAAATTACTGCTTTTTTTTACCACGAAGTTTTCGCTTTAGAACAAAAGAATCTCTGAGTCATGTGGTTGCGCTAAAACTTAAATTTCGTTCATTGCAGGAAAATAAACCGTACATCATAACGGAAAAGTTTAAAAGAAGGGGTAAATGTGTAGAGACATTAGGTATTTTTTGAAAGCAGGAGACATGAAAAATGAGCACTGAACCACGGACCTCTCGAATACGCGCCGGGCGTGCTGACCACTACACTACGAAGGCATGCTAAGAAAACGGGGAAAATACCTTTTATACTCCCCTTTTCAAAGGGCGATTGGAGATTAGGGGATCCAATCGCCAAATCCTGGTGGTGAAGAATCATCATCCACCAGCTTTTTTAAGAAATTAACTTTTTTTTCGAAGATTTTATTAATTCATATCCAAAATAACACTTAGTTCCCACTCCCCCCGTACACTCTCAGCCCAAACAGAAGCCGATCGGTAAAACCGTTAATTACAGGTAGTTTGGTCAGAGGTTCGAATCCCACGAACGGGCTATAGTGCATGGGCACTTTCTTTATTTCCCCCCCCCATGCGTAACGTGTACACAAACCAGTTTCCATTAGAACGTCCTCCACGAGGACATTCCTCCCCATAGGCAGATAGCCCTCGAGTGCTTTGCCCTAATCAAATAAAACAAAACAAACCAAAAGTATGTTCTTAAGTATGTCACGAATTTTTTCAGAAAGTACTGCAGGTCCACCAGCGGCCGCGTGTTAAAATCGCTAAACATTGGCAGTTCAGCCCTGGGTTCGATTCCAGGGAAACGGGAAGGCTGCATGGGCGTTTTCGTGGTTTTTTCCAAGCTTTACATGAGCTTGTTTCCCTTAGAAAGGTCCCCCACGAAGGCATCTGTCCCTCCTCCCTCCCTAGTGTGCTTTTCTGTAATCTCAATAAACGAAACCAGAATATATTGCTTAAAGTAGTTACTTGTAAAGATATGAGAAGACTACATTTAGATTATAGTACTTCATAATTGTTTAACCATATCAAAGTTCACATTTCGCATAACAAATAACAAAAATGCAGCTCCTATATATAAATGTTAATATTTATTCGTTTAAATGAATTTGCGGCTTAATTAATCACCGGCATAATATCATCCAAATTAAAATGACTGTACTCATATCATTGCAGCCAGTAATTATTGAATACTTAATTAGATTACACTGCAAGACTTTCAATGGAATCAAAATACAACTACATTTTTTCCCTCTTTCATTCCAGGATATTTCGTAAATTTACCGGACATTTTTATTTGTAAAAGCAACTTTTCTTGCTACTTAATCATTTTCAGAAGATCAATTTGGAAAGTAATGGCAAAATATTAAACTTCGTCTTAAAAAACGTAGCCTTTTTATTTGAAACCTTATACGTACAATTAATAATACGAAAATCATATGTAAAATTATTAGCATTTACACAGTTAATAAAACTTTTGTAAATTGTTATTAGTCCGAAGGGGCTTTGTCCCTGAAGGACTATTGTTTCGTTTTGCGATTTTGCGTTGAATACTACAAACGTCAGTTTCACTTTTCAAACTGTTGCCACCAAATGTTAGAGTCTTGCATTATATTTGAAGAAATTAAGTAATGAGAAATCTGCATAAATGTATGTATATTTCTCGCATTGCGATAAAACAACGGTACATAGAGCCATCGATTTTGAAGACGTAATCCTCCTAGAATATGGGCATGTGGAAGACCAAATTGAAATTTGTTTTATTATCGGTTTATTTTTGTAAAACTTTAACGAATTTTGAGTAACAAACTGAATGATTTAAAAACGAGCAATGGCTACACTCTACGGCGGGGGGGGGGGACCTTTTTATCTCCAGCGGGCGCGGAACTGTGTATCGGAAATTCTAAAGTTCATTTTAAAATTATTTTGCGACATTGCTAAACTTAATTTTATGGTTTAAGTGCAAAGAACATGATATTTATTAAATAAAGGTACACAAATAAATAAAGCCCACAAAACGTTAAAAAAACGCGCCTTTGGACGTAATTTAAAATCTGAAACCTTTCAGACTTTTTTTATATGAATTTAAAAAAGAGCGTATGATTTTAAAAAATTATATATCTGAAGCTGAAAGAATATTTTAAGTATTTTGTAACAATAACATCTTAAATACATAGCATTTATATTTTTCTTTCACTTTTAAGCCATTTTTATTCTTCTGACTAAAATATATGGGAATGTTTTTTAAAATAATATCTTCAAAGTGTTGACACATAACGCAGATTTCAACGATGACATTCCTCATCTTATGCAGGTGGTTCTAGCGTGTTATGCCACAATCAAATAATCCAATCCTTCAACCTTAGCCGATGGATACAATCATTTTATCTATATAGCCTAAAATTAATTTATGAAATTATCATACAGCCAGGTACTGTACAATAAAAAAGCAATGACGTTATACATAAATTTCACTTTCTTTTT